TATGAATGACATCACTAACCATAGTTTGAAAATAAGTATTCAAATGCTACTATTTGAAAATTAGGCAACTAAGTTGAATTTTGATCTGGAAAACTGTTTTAACTTGAACAGTATCAGGTACCCTAATATATAAAAAGCATAACTTCATCATACTGCTGTTTTGCTTTGAATATATAAAATACATTCCCATATAAAAGAAAAAAAATAGACTAAATTCATTTTTTTTCTTTGGAAATGAATGTATCAATGTTATAAATACATGCAAAAGATAAGCATAGGACTGTGCAGATTACTGTATTTTCCAGCTTACAAGACACACTTTTTTCCTAAAAAAAATAATCGGAAAAATATGTGTGCATCTTCCAAGATGAATATAAGGCAACACCCAGGCTCGAGTAAGCTTGGATGGTCAACCAATTGGCTTGACTGATAGGGACATGGATTTGTATGTTGAGTCATTACACTATAATGTTAGCTCTCTAATTCAGCCTTGTATATGATGTAACCTCAGCACTTAGTTGTTACAAGTATTTCCAAGACTATAAACCTTCCTGGAGCTGAGCCACAAGCTTAAACATGCTCTGTTTACTAGCAGCTGCGGGAGCTTTTCTGCTCTTGACTAGTATGTCATTGCCATACAAACAAAATCAAGCAAGTGATTAATGTAAACAATAAGTGGTGCCAGTATGTGAGGGACACATGGTGAATGTGTTGTTATATGAGAATGACATTTTTTTTTCTTAGAAATTTCTTTCCAATATTAGGGTGTGTCTTAAGGTGGAAAATACAGTAATAGTTACTCTGACCATCTTCATTCTTTGTAATCATTTACTTAGCTTTTAAAGAAGAAAAAAATGCCAAGTAGAGAATCCTACTGCTCTTGGATGAGATTTCACAAACTATCTTTGTTAGAAAACTTGTTAGTTTTGATTGCATCAAACTCTTTTTTTTTATGTTATCAATTTTGGCTAGAACATGATTTCAGCATTGTTTTCTGTCAGTTTTTGTTTGATCTGGCAGAGTGGTAAGGAGTATTTTCTTGCTGGAAGAAAACATTTTTATTAGAATAGAGTCTTTGGGTATTGGGTACTAGGGTTTTTTTTTTTCCATATCTAATTAACCAGAAAACTGTTGGTTAAGATATTGCCCTATACCAAACACATATATAAATGTTATCAAGATTATTTAAAATATCTGATTTTTTTTTCTATCACAGCTATAATTTTTTTTTATTTTTGTGATTTATTTATATGCATATATTTTCTCTTGGCAATTATAATAATGGAAATTTTTTTTTCTTTTTTCTTTTTTTGGCGTAACAACTATTTCTCCACAATTTCGTTTTATGTTCAAAGGGAAATAACTAGTTCATTTGTAATCGTTTCTGCATGCCATTAATGTTGTTCGCAAAGATTTCAGTTCTTATTTCTTTCCTCCTTGTCTGACCTTTCTGTATCTTTTACTTCTGCTATTTTTGCATGCTGGCATTGCCAGATAATTACAAGTAATTTAGTTCTTGATGTTGTTTATCTTTCCATTTTTTGCTCCTATAATTGTCTAGTGTTTTCCTGCTAAAGTTTCTTGAAAAGGTAAGTTGTTCAGTTATTGATCTTCTTACAAATACAAGAAATAAAGAGAAAAACACATATTCCTGTAGCTTCATTTAGGAAAATATCAAAACTGCTACTACTTCTAAAACACTATTTTCTTTTATCATAGCATTCAAATTGTTTAAATGTTCTCATTTTCATTACTAGTGAAAAAGTATGATCTCTTCTTTTCTTCATACCAAGCAACCAAAATTCTGTTCCAATATTAAAACCAACCTAAAATTCAAACTTGGAAAATAATTTCTTTTACTGTATTCAGTCTTCTTAATGGCATTAGAAGAAATTGATCTCTTTAAACCTTAGATTATAAGTTGTATATAATAGAATGTATATTACTTTGCCCTCTCTGATGATGATTTATTCAGAAGTGTGGGGATAAAAATCATTTGGTTTATTCTCTAAATCTTTGATAGTACTTCAATTGGATGCTAACTAGAGAAAAACAACATAAATTTTTAAAATTAATCCAAGTGCAAAACAAACATTGTCAAAAAATGTTTTTTTTTTTTGAAGCAGCATTTTTCATTATCATCAGAATATTTGGTTTTGGTGTGATTCTTCACTAAGTTCATTCAATTTTCTGTTAAGACTTCTGCTCTTGTGAAATAAGTTTGGCAAAAGGTTAGGATGACAGACTATTTCACAGAAAATAATTGCAGAAGATTAACAAGAAAATAAGAAGATATTTTCATGCTTTTCTTAAAACGTTTTTGTTTTGTAAAAATAAAGACTTGTCAAAACTATTCTATGTACTCATTTTCCATGTAAGAACTACTGTTTTATTCTTTTATAATCATAACCTGTTTTAAAGAAATATCAGCTAATTGTTTGTTCCTAAACTTGTCACATCTGCCTTATCACACCAAAACTACATGGCCAGTTGAAGTAATATTCACTCAATGTATTTTGAACTTCATGCAAAATAAATAACAGCAACCTTGCATTCCAAAGACCTTGATCCATTGTAACAGAGAATTGGGTCAGCCCGCTAAAAGACTCATCAGTGTTGGCTGTATGTGGTACTGTAAGCACCAGGAGTTGCATCCCCTTCCACAATGGGCTGTTGATAGAAGACCTTCTACTTAGAGTAGGTGGTGATACTGAACAATACTGGGCAGGTATTAGCCAATAATCAGTGCAGGTCTGGGACTGGAAGAGCTATATAACACCAATGTTTTTCTCAATCAAGGGAAGTGCTCTGAACGTGCATACATGCAAAAACCAGACAAGACTAAAAACACACCCATATTGTTCAAATATGGTCTTTTCTTACTTGTGTGTAACCTTTTTCTGCTAAATGGAAAAAAATCTAAATTATCAAGATCAGCTGTGTTAATTACAAATTAAAGACAACACAAACTTGGTTATTTGCATGAACAATTCCTACCCAATGCTTTATATCTATATTTATTCAATGCCTTTGAGTCAACCATCGGCTTGAATTTGAGCATATATCAAATATACTCATTAAACCTAAATCAAAATTAAATTTATCAGTAAGTTTAAAATTAATACAAATTCAACTGGTTACCAATGTTAAAATACTTTAAGTATATAGACATCACATGATCATGATTTACCAATGATAGGACATTGTGATTTTGGTATAAATTGTTCCCTTTTAAGAATATTATTGTAACACACTTCATTCATTACTCTGCAACAGTTTTTATTTTTTGTATTTTATTTTTTTCAGTAGTCTATTTAGTATGTTTCCAACAATAAATAAAGCATTTGAAATACCTCTTCAAACAAGAATATATGTTAATCTATCTTGTATACCAAATGTTTTCTTAGGCATTATTAATTTTTTTTACAATGAAAAAATTTTATAAAAATTATTAAAAAATATTTCATCTCAGTCTCAAAATAACTTAAGACTCCTGCTCTTAGGCATTTTTTAAATACTAAAAATAAATTCTTTTATATTATATTTTCATCATTATGTGTAAAACATCATGGTATTATGCATATTTTCATTTTTGGCCTTTTTATTTCATTAGAATAATATGAAGAAGATATTTTAAATGTTTTAAGAATGGATACAAATAGTAATTTGATATATGAAAGAATGCAAAGCCAACACATCTCTTCATGAACAATTTAAATATATTCAATTAATATAAACTCTTGGTAAAAATCTAACAGTGAAATACACTGCTTTTCACTCAAAATCAACCTACAGTAGTTGGTCATTCATCAGTGACACTGGTGTATTTTTAAATTTCTTTTTGCCAATTATATCCTTAAAATGAGAACAACATTTTCCTTTAACTTTATAAGAATAAAAAATTATATTTTTTTTAAAAAGTTTATGAATACTCTTATTAAAGTATAATATGCAACATCAAATTATAAAAATATCTAATGAAACAAATTTAAAAAAGGAAAAGGAAACAAACAAATTCAAATAAGTATTCTCAGAAGTAAAACATCTTATGCCATTATTTTTTGGACTTCATTTTAAAACAATTTTTTAAAAATTTCATTTGTTTATATTTTTCAATTAAACTGCTTTCATTTGTAAGAAAAACGTGAAATATGACCTAACTTGACTAAGAATATATATTTGCTGTTAACAAAAAGATAATAATGAAATTAATAGTTATATTTAATAATTGATATCATTTTTGACTACATTGCTTTGTGATTTTTTAATTTACGTTTCTATTATTGTGATTAAATCTGTTTGGCATGATATGGTCATGTTATTATTGATTTTTGGATATACCAGTAAATTAGGATAGATTCAAAGTAACAAAAATATGGACATCTCTTCAGAAAACAATCTAGTAGAAAGTCCTAGATTATGCCTTTTCTTGTAATTGGTGCATAGCAAGCTGAGAACAAACAGATTTCAAAGATCAGCTAAACTGCTTCTCTATTTCTTCTCCTTTAGATATAGAGCTCCAATGCCTAGTCACTGGGGCTAGATTTACTCTACCTGTGTCCTTTTCAGAGCTAATTACTAATTCAATTGCAATTGTTGATTGTAACACACACTATAAATTATTCAAAAGATAACATAATCTTTTCATGCCAAACTGTTGTTATTGTGTTCTTATGATATTTATTAACTCTTGATCTGCAAAGTTGATGTTGCACTGTTAAATGCTTATATTTTTCCTGTTTCTCAAAAAAAGCTAAAGTGCATACTCTGTTTATAGTTATTTTAATGTATTAACTCTGATGCAAGAACAATACTGTAATGCCAGAAATTGAGATGTGTCTGGGTTTTTATTAGTTGATTACACATATCCAACCCCTAGATCAATGATGATGATGATGATCAGCTGTGATGAAGTGTAGAATGCTGAAAACCTTTAATTCATGAGCTTTGGTAATTTTCTAATGTTAACAGCATGTTAACTCCCTTGTTTTTTATTGCAGGGTATTTTGAGCAGACAAGATGTGCAACATCGAAGATCAACATTACCGGCTGGCAGACTTTTGCGAAGAGTCAGCTCATTTGAAAAATCTTCTACACTCTATGATGAGACCATTGGTGACAGGTTAGATATTTCTGTTTGGATATAATAAAAACTTCTTGTCAATGAAACTTTACATATTTATAAAATGTAACTGTTTTATTTTAAGCAGATGCTAATTTCCCTTTCAAATAGAGTTAAAAACTGGACATTTTCTTCTTGCTCAGCAACTATAAAAAGTGGATATTTGAGATACCAATTTGTGTAATCTTTTTCTTGGTGCTTACAGGGAAGGAAATGTTGACAAACCAGTAACAGAAAGTAAAGATGAAGAAAATGAAGACTCAGTCTTCCAGAAAGGGTAAGTGATTTTGCTGATGCTATTAGTAATGACAATAATGTGACACTGGTAGCAGCTAGAATTTCACAGCTTCACTTAGTTTTTATTACTTTTAGATCACTTATAGTCACTCTTATTGCATATGTACTCACATCATACTTGATTTTTTGAATGAAATAAACAAACTTCAAGATGACTTACATTCACTGTTTTAGGAATGAAATAGACTGCTGTTGCTGCTGCTACTGCTGCTTTGAGATATTTATTTATTAATATAATTTTTTTCTCTCTAATATAATTTTGATTAGATATTGGGTGTTGGTGTAACTTAAAGTAACATTTTAGTGGGTTGGATCTTGTATATATTTTCTTAATTGAGTTTAGAGAATTGTCTTCCTTACTTTGTCTATTATTTGGTCGCAAAGGATTTAATATGTGGTCTGTAAACAATTTTCTGTTAATACATTACATCATTCCTCTTAATATTCCTGAAAGGTTCTTTGTGCATATATTGTTTGTGCATATGTTTTTTTTTATTATTTATTCATATAAATTTTACAAGTCTTTTTACTAACATGTTTTACTTGATACTTTCATGCAAAGAGTTCTTGCTGTCAAATTCCAGAACAGAATAACTTTGATGGTTATATATAAATTGTGAATAGTTAATCTACTTTCATACCTTTTAATCTATCATAATTTTAAAACTCCAGCCAAATCTCTTAATACCTTCACTTTATGTCAGACAACTCACATCCTTTTGGTTTTTGCCATCTTTGTTGATATTTCTAAATTACATTTTAATAGAAATATTTCATACAGAAATTTAACTCTGATATCTGTATAGTTTTGTGATTTATTACAGATAAAATTTAAAATTTTCCTTTTGAAAATTAAAATGTTGAGAAAAAATATGAATTCTTCCCCATAAAAATAAAAATAACAAAGATAAGTACTTCTTTATAAGTACTTCTTCCAAATGTTGTATACATGTTTTAATAAAACCAGAAAGAAAACAGCTATAAATATGATTTAATTTTTGTTTTCATCTGCTATTATTATTATTATTGAGAACCTATCAAATGCTTACTGGCGATGGTGTCTGTTAAATAGTTCCTAAGTTAAATGCCAGTTACTTTGAAAGTTATTTTCTTAAGCCAAGTTTGGCAAATAATATTGACATATGTTTGTCTTTAGGAAGAAACAGCTTCAGCGCCATCATAGTAAATGAATGATTTGAACATGAAATATACAGATCTGCTGCTTATTTATCTTATTTTTTAATCAGGTATGTGAAGAATTTGCTGCCTCCTGCTTCACTGGTGTTTATCTGCACACTGTTACTTCTCTTTCCATTTAGAAACCTTACTAAAGAAGACAATAAAAACGTTTTTAAGACAGCATTGGAAACTAAAATTTTCCTTAAAGTAGTGATAGATATAAAATACCACTGCCAAATATGGTTTTAAATTTGCCCCTTTTAAACAAGGACAATGATTGTTAAAGGAAAGACTTTATTTTTGTTATTAATCTTTAAGTTTGAATGTACACTTAGAGAATTGCAGTTTTTGAAATTTATTTCAATAATTTATAAACTAATTCTGGCAAAGAATTAGCAGCTGTTGTTCAATAAAATATGTACTTCAAAAGTAGTTTTACTTGATCACATTATTCTCTATGATCATTAAAACTTAAAATGTATTCAGACAATAGTGTGTCATTCTTTTTTTTAATCCCCTTTTATAGTTTTTTTCTTTTCTAGAATATACAGATATGTTTTAGTTTCTTGCAAAATTTCAACTTATTCTATTCCCTAGATTAAACTATATCTACTTTTTAAAATGTCCCTTATTTTACTTATAATTACTAATTGTTTAACTAGAAAACTAAAACTATATATTAATGATTAAAAGGTTTTATATGATTTTAGTCTTGCTTTATTATTTGTACAAAAAAGTCATTTAAATTTTATAACTAAAAATTTTTACAGTATGTATTTTTTGCTTTTCTTCTTCATATAAAGTTAAATTCTTGAACTCGGTATTAAAACTTTAACCTGCTGTAAACAGTAATATTATTTAGACCTCTGTAAAAACTTATACCAATTAAAATCTCCTGCAGATTTATACCATTTTGTATTATAATACCTGGGTGATCTAAACATAAATATTAGTGATAGAATTTTTCTTCTCTCAGACAAAATGTGATTAACATTTGCTTTTGGCAGTCCAAAAATATGGAATAAACTAGATAATTATGCAGCTGGTTTTTTGGGAAAATGTTTTTTTAACCATTTCCTTTGCTGCTTGATGCCATTCAGTGTTGTAGTTGAATAATATAGCTTTGCCTTCTTGCACAGCCTGAATTCTACTAATGCAAGCTTATTCTTTGTTTTTCTTCCCATTTGCAGCTTTTAGCTTTATCATTATCATTGTCATTATAATATAAGCAATCATATTTTTTACTTTTACAACCCTTTTTCTTCCATTTATTCATGTCCATTTCTTCTTTTCTTTTTTTAGGAATATAAATCGACTTTAACATTTGTGTATAAGTGCACTTAAAATTTCTGTTGATCTCTATGATAATTTCTTGCTCAAACTTGACTGACAGTTTTTTAATTTTTTTTTTTAAATATTCAGAAAAATATTTGCCTGAAGTAGGATCTATTAAGGACATTTTTTTCCATCAAGTGTGATGGAAATATTTTCTATCTGATTAGAACAATTTTCTACTGCTACATCTTAATTATTTACCTAAGTTCTTTATCAATTGTCAGCATTTTAAGTGAACTAATTATTGGTTGAAAAAATTCTGGATTTAACTGTTTTCCTCTTAGTACTAAAAGTACTAAACTTACTTAAAGTACTGGGGGTGCTGAAAAGTTACTGAACCAACCAAAAAGGGACCCCCCCCCCCCAAATTCTGATGGATTGTCATTTGGTCAGATTTTGGGAACTGGTTGGAGCTAAGAACTTTTCAGCATCTCCTCATAGGTACAATTCTAGGTTATATCATGAACGCTTACACTAGCAGCACATTTGCAAAATTAATAAAACTTCAAAAATATTTGGTTAGATTTTAGAAGATGGGGAAGGCTGAGATCTTTTCAGAAATTGAGTCTTAAAAAAAAAAAGAAGGAAAAAAATTAGTAATCTCATTATAGGTAATTATTTTCTTAATTTCTGTTTAAATGAAGATATTACTTATCCCCATGAATTCAACACATTGGTTGCTGCTTTCAGTTTTAGTGTTTAAATACTTGTAAATGTTTTGTCTCCGAGACATTATTTTGAAAAAAATTTAAATATAGGATTGAGAAGAGTGACAATAGAGGTGAAAATAATAATTAGATTTTTGTTTAGTGTCATCACTTTTTTCAATAGAGATTATTTTATTAAAAGCAGAAGCTGCAAATTTAGCTTTTAAATTCAACAAATATTATGTATTCATATTTTGGATAGAAAATTCACTAATTATACAAGAGTTGTTAATTTATTTACAATTTATTGTACTATTTTATGTAATTTGCATATGAGGTATTTGCATGATGTTTGATTGCTATTTAATTGCTTATAACTCATTGATATAAGTTCTGATAATGATTTAATACATAAACTGATAAATGGAAGGTGATTACGTATATCTTTATAAGTACGATTATATGCCTAGTTTAAGATGTATTAAAATTATGTACACTATTCCTACATTGCTGAAGGTTTTAAATTGCAAGTTAAAATACACTCTCTCTCTCTCTCTCTATATATATATATATATATATATATACACACACACACACACACACACACACATGCACACACCTTTAAAAAAGATTTTTAAAAAATAAAGCATGCTTCTAGAAAGATTTGAATGACATAGTGAAAGAAGTCAGAACCCTCCTACATTAACAACTCAGTTATTATTCCTGAGTTTTATTGCCATTTTGAAACTGAGACTAGTCTCTTAGGAAAGGTTACAAGACACATTATGTTTTTCCTGTTTCCTTTTTATTTTTATTTTTTTAGGTTATCTCACCAAGTTGCTTGATGACATTAATCTGGTTGGTTGTTCCTGCAATCCTTATTTACTATTTACCATTCTTTGTCAGTATTTATGTCCCTTCTGGTAAGTGGGATCTGCAGTGCTCTTCTGCATGTCATCTAGAGCTGCTGCTAATGCTGCTGTCCTTGTTATATATTGCTTTGTACGTCTTTTTATGTAGACTTATTCATATTGTGTACCTTTTATATTGTAGGAATAAGCACGTACTATTTAGTAGTGAATTATCCTAGATTTGTGGACTTGTTTATTGACTTTGTTGGGTGAATACTGTACAATGGAGATAACTCTGACAGCATCTGTTCATGAATTGATGCTTTGTTGAGGTTCAGTAAGTCATGATTAAATGTGATATTTGTATGCAAATTATAGATTTAAGTTTGTGTGAGGTTGAACATATTTTTGATAATATATAAACTGCAATCTCTTTTCAGTGTATTTACTACGCTATATCTTACAGATTGTATCTCTATTTCTGGTTGTAATGATATGTGGAAAAAGTTGTTTTATCATTTGTAGTAAAGATCTTGGTTCTACAGAGAATAATATTTTGTGGTTGGATTTACCAATTGTCATTATTATTTATTCTAATTCCAAAGGTAAATGAGAAATAGAATCATAAATGAGATTTTATTCTCTATTTTCAAACAAGAGTGAAGTACTTTGGAAAATAGTTATCCTCTTGATATGGTTGTCAGTTTCTTAATAGACCAGGTTGTATAATCTAGAATACATTCTTTTAAAATTTTAAACTTTAAAACCATTACAATAAATTAATTTCTTCAGAACTAGTAATGTGGTTCAAGAAATGTTTACTTTGTCCAATGACATATTTTTGTATTGGTTATATAGTCTTATTTTAATGAAATTGTATTGGTTATATAGTCTTATTTTTATTAAGAAATTCTACTCATTTTTCATTAACAGGTTGACATTCTATAAAATAGAATGATGTTTTCTGATTTTTACATATTTAGAATATTCCTTCCTACAACTTTTATGTAAACCTATTTTTGCTATATCTTCAAGGATTTCTTTTGAGGTATTTTTTATTATTGTACATGGAATATAATTTTCCTTTTGTGATTTATAAGATTAACTTTCAGTTTCTTGATCCAAAATTAATCCATTTTGAATTGTCTCTAGTTTTGTTTCTAGACATTTAAGGTATTCTAAAAATTCAGATTTTTATCAATTTTTAAAAATTCATATACTACTACTTTGTGTTATCTTTTAATGAATGATAGCAATATTAGCAACATTGAATCTTTATCTTTTTAACTATTTCAACACTCTTTTATATGATTATTTTCATTTCAGTCTTTTATCCTCTAATTGTTATTTAATTTTAAGATAGGATGTTTTATAATAAATATTTTTATATTTTAAATATTTTTTGAGAAACCTTAAACTGTTTTAAATTAAAAAGCCAAAGAAATGAACATATCTGAATCTAATATGGCTATCATTTTCCTTCTTTTTTGTGGAATAAAAACATAAAAGGAAGTATCTATTCTTTTGAAAAAAAATCATTCAAAAATGATTTCTTGGGTTTTATATGCAACGTTGAGTTATCTGGTAGGATAATATTTACCCAGACATTATAACATATCAGTACTAACCTAAGTCCACCATACTGTAATATTAAAAGTAAATAGGGATAGCAAATGTTTTACATTGATACAAACAAAAATTTATTATTTCTGAACATACTCAACATTTCACATTTAAGCATGTCTAAGTATCTTCTTGATTCAACAATATTGTGTATTGTTACATATTCAATGAAACCCATTTTGTTATGATCATCTAAAACTTAATTTATCAGTTTTTGTTTCTTTTTCCACATTCATCCTCCTGACATAAAGTTGATCATTTGATGCCTTCCTAATGAATATAAAATGTTTGAATCATTTATAAATCAATTTAGTGTTCTATGAAAGATAATTGATATTTTGATTGAAATTTTAGTTTAGCCACCAGTTATTTAATAGTAAACACTTTTAGTGAATTGTTTTTTATCACAGTAATATAGGTATTTTTTTTTATTTCTAGCTTTGAACTTACTCATTTCTTCATCATCATTCTATTTTATAGTTTAATAAGTTCTAGTCCTTGTAATTATAATTTATTCTGCAAATAATACATCTCTCATATAGTTTTATTTTATTGAAAAGTATAGTATTTGAATATGAGGTAATTCTGTAACATATTTTCATTTTTCTGTAACATATTTTCATTTATTTACATTTTTTTCATTTATATTTTATTTTCACATGATTTCTTTTTTTTTCTATTTTAACAGTCCATCATAAATTGATTAACATGTTTAATTATTAAACTATTTGATAAATAATCACATCCATACATTCCAACATTTTGGTTTATAAGTGCTGCCTTTATATGTAAGATTTTGTTGCACTTATCAGATATTATTTCATAATTATTTCTCTGCCAATACATTTATGATATTCTGTGATTGTTTTACCTCTTTGTTATAAGTTTAGTATTATAAAGTAGTTTAGAAATTTTTATTCTTGATATGTAGCATCATAAGGGAATATCCTGGTCAATATAGTTAGCTATCAAATAGTGATTACCATTTTATTCATACATTTCTATTTTATAAGGACTTGGTAACAATCTAACATTACACATTGTTTTATTCAACTATAACAGTTTAAAAAATTCAAAAGTTTTCTTATATAAATCATGTTATGAATGTAATGATATAAAGTGAAAAATTGGGCCTAAATTTTCAAGTATTTTTTTTAAAAATTGCAGAAAGACGAGTTCTCTTGGCAGATTTTTAAAGAATTAAAATGCCTAACATTTCTTAACTTTTAGTACAAAATATCTGATAAGATTATAAACCAACTCATGATTATTAAAATACATTTTGTAATTCCTTTACAAAATCAGTAAATTTTAATTTTATCATTGATTGAGATCAATTTTTACATAATACATTTTGTTTTCTTCTGATATCATCTATTGTTTCTTGAGTTTCATTTTTTAAAATACTATGCTTTATTTGGATGTTTGTTTTCCTGATTGTCTCATGAATATATTTTGAATTACAGAAATTGACTATTTGTAAGTTTGTTGTTGACAGTGTATATCTGAATGTAAATTTTAAAACATGGATTTTATTTTGATACTTATAGTTAACCATTGATGAAACATTTATATTGCATTGTAAAAGTATATTTATTGGTTTTTGTATCTCATGGATACTAATAAAAATATTTAGTTTGGTAGTAGTAGTAGTAGTAGCATAGATTTGGTTTTGTATACACAAGTTTTGTTAATGTGGAAATTTTGATCTTGTGTTTTGATATATTTGTTTTTAATGAAGGATTTTTAAAAATGTGGTATCTGATAGGCATTATCAATCATAAAAAATTGACCTATTTTACTTGTGAATTTTTTCATGACTATAAAATTACCTCTTTTTATCCACATTGTATATAAATTATCTTATAAAGATAAGGGATAATATTCTGATTTAATTTTAGACTATAATTTCCTTTACTTTATGTCTATGTAACAATGTAAGATATTGATAGACATTTTGTAGCTGGGACTAACATTAAAAAATCATCTTTGCCTGTATTTTGTTTAGAAAATAGGTCCTGTTTGCCTGCTGGTTTCTCAGTAAAAGAACACTAAATAAAAATGATTTATGTACACAATCTCTATCTTTTTATTTATCATCATTATTATTATTATTGTTAAAATATTCTTTTGATTAAAACTGGCACTTAGCTTGAGGATGTTTTCACTTCATCATAAGCTAAATTCTTAAATTCTTAAAACAATGTATTGTAATCTGAACAAAGAAACTTGAAAAAATCAAGCAGTTTTCATTTCATTATTGTAAAATTTTCTATAATTTTCTCATGTTTGAAAATATTAGGCTAAAAAAAAGAAAATCCTAGAATTGAATTTGACACAAATTTATAACAGTGTATTTACATGTGTTAAAAATAAAAAGCTTGGTCATAATTACCAATATAAAATGATTTGTATTTTATATCTAGTTTTGTATTTTCTTTTTTAATTTTCAGATACAAAAGGGGACTCAGTACACAAGTAAATTCAATAATTGATAATCTAGCTACCCAGCAAAGCTGCATGGTACAACAAGTGCAACACATGATGGCAAATAATGATATTGAGGATGCACCTGAAGAGAAATTGTGAGTTCAATTCAATGTTTGGCTGGCTGGAGAGGGTGTCATTTTTATTCTATGAACCTTTTTTTTTAACAATTGTCTATTTGATAAATAACAATTATAAACACTCCTTATATCTAATATTATTGCAGAATATGTTGTGTTCATTTTTATTGATTGAATGCAGTATATATGATAAGGATTGTAATAAAATAATTTCAACATAACTATATTTATGCCACATTATAGATCATTCAAAGATTAATAAAATAGAAATAATGCTTTTTGTTTTTATACAATATTTTATAATAACAGCAATAATATAAACAATATTAAACATTTCTATTTTAAAATTATCAAAAGATTTACTAACTAGTGTTTGCTTGTGGAAATTCTATAAGGAATTCAACAGGACTTACCCTACACACAAGCCACTAGTAGCCTGCCAAAGGCAATGTCACCAGACCTCTGGTGGCAGCCACCAGTGGGCCTCAGACAGTACGCCAGTGGTTACATTGCCGAGATGAACACATCAGTGGCCTGACAGAGGGCCACCAGCGACAAACACTAGTGGCATGCCACCCAGTGGCAGATTGGTGGTTTGCATGTAGGGATGCACTTAGTAATTTCTTTATTTATGTACAAATTACTCTGCTTTTGCTGAATTAAATTGATCTTGTTTACTGACTTTATTAATATAAGATAAACTTTTACACCCGAATTATGAAGAAAACTCTTTGTCTAAATCTGCTTTCTCTTGTCTTTAATTTTCATTGCTAAACTATGGTTATACTAAAATAAACTGGAAACATTTAATTCATGAATATCATGTAATTTAATATATATTTTTCATTGTGTTACATGTATCGTTCAATTCATGCTGTGAATTGTTAGGATCAGTAATTATAAAATTATTCCAATGTTTTAGACTATTATTTATTTCTTCACACAAAAATAAGAAAGTTTGTGATATTTTTATTTTAATGATTTAATTAAAAAAAACAACAAACAAACAAGAAACTTAATTAAAGATTAAAAAAGATCTATGCACATTATTTACACTATTTACTTTATTCGGACTATTGTCCTCATCTTTGTTGCCATGGCGAGAAAGATGAGGACAATAGTCCAAATAATGTAAATAGTGTACATAATACCTCATCTCAGAAATATAGACACACACATGACATTTGGGTGAATGCTGTCAGCTTTGTTGTTGTTATTACAACATTTTGTCTATTATATCCTCTGGCCTTCTTCTGATGTCTGTCATCCAGATAACCTGCAGAGAATTCTGAAATGTACCCTTGATTTAATCTACAGGGATTTATTATTTTAATTCTACTGTCCATGTCTAGTTATATCTCTTTTCTTTTTTTTTTTTTTTGCTGAGTCTGTACTACCTGGCCTAGGGATTGAACTCACTATTACCATGCTACCAATGCTTTAATTCACTAGGCTATTGTCCCATGGGACATTCTTAAAGCTATGGAACCTTAAACCTAATGTTCTTATTGCCTACTTGGTGTTGTTACACTTGACATCCTTTGCTGCCACTTCTCTTTTCCTACTGTTGCTGAAACTTTACTCTCTGCCATCATTCCTCTTTCTTTTTTATTAATGACTTTCATATTTGCATTTACCACAACTGCAATAGATGGCTTACACACAGTTCTTGGTCATGTTCTCCTCTGTGTTAGGCTTGAAAAGATTTAAGGTTTTAGATTCAAGTTCGCTTCAGGAATGTTTCATGGAAAAATAGCCTGGAGGGTTAAAGTATTGGTTCATGAATTTTGTGATATAGTAATTGTGAGTTCAATCCCTGGGTTAGGCAGTAGCACAATTATTTCTTGTCCTGTCTTCCACTGAGCAGTACTAAAAAAGAACAAGATGTGATATCCCTAGACATGGACTTTTTTAAATATACTTAATTTCATAGAAATTAATCAGCAGGATTCAAATTCAAAACCTTTCCTCTCTCTCTCTCTCTCTCTCTATATATATATATATATATATATATATATATATAATGAAGTGGACTAAGTCTGACAATTATTTTAATATATTTTCTGTTTATACATTATTTTTATAGATATAAATACAATTATTTTAAGTAAATGCTCTGTTTATAATAATTACATTTACCAGCCTGAATGTCCGAGAAATTTAGTAGAAAATATGTGTCCTCTGACAATAATTGAATCTGTATTCTACACGGAACCATCATTTGACCTGATGTGCTATACCATTTAGCTACAGAGGAAGAGTCTGGTCAGCAAAGTTCAAATTATGCTAATTTAGACTTTGCTAACCAGACACTTCCTCTCTATAAACAGTGGCCCACAACAGGGCTAAGAGCAAATAAGAATACACGTAAAAGAGGATATCTATCTATCTATCTATCTATCTATCTATATATATATATATAGAGAGAGATAGATAGATAGATAGATAGATATATATATATATATATATATATATATATATATATATATATATATATATATAGATAGATAGATATCTGTGTGTATATATATATATATATATATATATATATATATATATAGATAGATAGATAGATATCCTCAACAAATGGTTGATAATTCTGAAAGAGTCCAAATTGAGGGAAGTTAATACTTATAACATTCTCCCCTTCCATATTTTTTTAATCATTTTTTTTTAATGTTCTGGATGTTGTAATGGTTTTTTTCAATTCCTCAAAGATCGTCTTAGTGTCACTGAATCTTTGGGAATCCAAGTAGAATGTTGATCCTCAAAGTTGAAGGTTCTCCTAGATCATATTTGTTCCCAACTGGAGGCAAACTATGCACAGATACAGTAGACACATGTATTTTAGGATTACTCAATGGTTTAGAATAGATATCTGGTTCCTTCACTTCTGTAGTGCTCTTTTCCACAAGAGTATCTTGTTCTGTAATTTTTGGTTCTCCTTGATCATATTTGTTCCCAACTGGAGCCAAATTATGCACAGATACAGTAGACATATGTCTGTCATTAAATTTTACTTACATGGGTATATTGGGGATTGGCTTCTAACAGCTGAACCTTGTTGACTAGAGGTTTGTACTTATTAGCAAGAACATTACGATGTAAGAGAACTGGGTGTGGGGCTGCTAGCCAATGGGCAAGGAATGAGCACTAGGTGACTGGCGTTGATATGAAAATATTCTTTCATAGGATGTAGTGTTTTTTGCAGTACAGAGTAGAGATATTATGGTATGCATTACTGCAGGTAGAACAACTTCCCACTGAGATTCTCGTAGATTTCTTGAAGACAACGGCAGTGTGATGTGCTTCCAGATAACTCTATTGAATTGTTCACTCTGACCATTGCCTTGGGGGTTTTAAAGGGTTGTTCTACACACAGCTATATCGAAATCAATGAAGTACTCACACAGTTCCTTAGATAGAAATGAGGAACCCTGGTTGGAGTTGATGTAGGAAGGAGTCCTGAACACTATGAAAATCTGAATTAAGCATTTAATTACCACACTAGCTGTCATATTGGGGCAAGCAAAAAGAAACTGAAAGTACTTGTCTATTACCATTAACATATAATGGTTCTGTGAGTTAGAAGGAAGAGGTCCCTTAAAATCTATGCTGATTCTTTCAATTGGCAGTGTAGCCTTTATCAGGCAAACTTATTCAAGTGTGTAGAAACATGGTTTCCATCTTGCACACATGGGACAGTCAGTGCATACATTTTAACATCTTCTATAGAGTAAGGTAGATTTCTGACTTTGACAAAGTGGGCTAACCTGGTTATACCAGGGTGACAAAGATGATCGTGTAGCTCATATAACTTTTCTTTGCAGGATAGTACCACAATGAGTCCATGCGTGTGTATCAGCAGGTATATTATCCTTCCCGGGTCTATAAATAATTTCATAATAGTTCCCAATTTCATTCTCCATCTCTGGATCTTATTGTTTTTAACTTTTCTAGGTCTCTCAGTATTAAACATGGTTCACTTCCTGCTGGTAACACCAGTAAAGTGTCAACCAGATAAGTTGTGAGACCACCTATTTACAGCTTCTATAATAGCTGAAGCTGCCTTTTCTATCGTAGCATACTTTTGTTCAGTCAACTTTAGTGATTGTGAGAAGAAAGCCACTGGACAGCTGGCCTGATTCAAAGCAGTGGCAATTGCCATATCAGAAGTGGCCATCTCAACTACTAGGGGGACATTTTCTTCAATAACATGAAGTAAGGCACTTTTGATTTCTTTAAGTTTTTGGAATGCTTACATGGAATTGTGATTTAAAGGGAACAAGTCAGCAATAATTAAGAGTTTGATCTTACCCAAAAACTTTTATATCCATTGGTAATAATAAGAAAACAAACCAAGGACCCTGTGTTGGGCAGCTTTATCTTTAGGGATAGGTAATTCTTTAAGTGAGCATAGCATCTGGTTTAAGTATCCCATGCAAAATGATGTAGCCAAGGAAATTAATAGAAGTGGTTGATATGGAGGACTTTTTCTTGTTGAAAGTAAGATTATGTAGTTTGGCTACCTTGAGAAATTTTTATTGTGCTCCTCTTGAGTCTTGCGAGCTAGAACTATGTTATCTACATAAGCATATTCCTCATAATAATGTTGTCCATTATGCATTGGAAGCAAGATACCCCTTTGGTGACTTCAAATGGAATATGACAAAACTGTTATAATTTGCCATTAGCTTCAAACTCTGTGTATGGTTTGTCTTCCCCTCAAATGGGTACTTGGTGATATACACTCTTCAAATCCAATGAAGAGTAAATTTTATATTTAGAGATTTCTGAAGCCATTCATTCATTGTGGGAGATAAGCATTGATTCAAGCAAATCTATTACTAGTTCTACCATAATCCATAACTAATATCTTTTTATGCTGTTTGTTATCAACAATTAAAATTTGAGCTCGCCAAGGAGATGTGCTTTCCTCAATAATTCTATTTCTTAGCATTTTATTAACCTCTGTTTTAATAAAGTGTTTATCAGCAATTCCAAATCACCAAGATTTTGTAGAAATAGATTTGCAGTTAGGATCAAGATTTGAAAATAATGGAGAGATATCTACCATCACAGATGACCTCAAAATAGATAGACTTTTCTTAGGATCACCAAATGCAAAATATGCACTAAAATGTTGGTTCATGAAATCTTGGCTGAGAATTACATCACTACAAAGATTGGGAAGGACACAAAGTGTAACATTCAAATACCACTCACCTAATAAATTTTTTTATTGAACCATTAAGGGATGTTGAAACCATGAACATATTCCCCACTGCACGTTTTATTTTTATCTAGTGTCTTTCCGTGTAGTTGAGTGAAATAAAGGATCTAGAGCTACAAGTGTACATTAGAGCAGTAGCCTCATTTTTGCCAATCAATATATACACCATAGCCTGTTTAATAAACTAGGTAGCGTAGTAATCACCAATGTATATGATAGAGTAAGTGAGGTGTCTAAAGTACCAACTTACTGATATACTTTTGAAAAGTACCCCTTTTATTTTGCATTTGTGATATGTGTCCTCTCTGACTGGGCACATGACTGTGATGTGATCCACCACAAAAAAAACATTTAGTGCTTGTTAAGGCATACACATTACTGACAAATGAATCTTTGTTTTCTGATGCTATGGCTCCCACAGTTTGTGAGAGCAGATGTGAATATGATTCAGAGTTTTTCTGTGCTAGGTATAAAACTCTGGCTTGATTAACTACTGTGTGTAAATCAAGGATTTTGTTTTCTAAAAGATGCTACTAAATGGAATTAAAGTACAAGCTGATAATGAGTGCATTTCTATCTCAGTTGTATCAGTTTTGAGCAGTGTTAACCACTTTAAAACTACATTATTTAGCTAGTAGTTGTAACTCCTGAACATACCCATCAATATCTTTGTTTTCTCTTTGTCCATGTGTTGCTAGAACATGTCTGTGGGTTTCACAATATAATTCCTTAAGGCAATTTTACAGAAGATTTGAAAGTAGCATACTTGGCAATATAGTCATTGACGTCTGAGGAAATGCTATTAATTAAGATATCCAGTTTGTCTTGTTCATCATGTACAGTATCATCTGTAGTTTTTCATAGGAATGAAGTGATGGTCCAATACCAATGACTGAAGATTTTAGTTGCAGAGGGTGAGTTAGCCGAGAGATTAGAAGTATCTCCTTTCAGAAGTTTGTCTATCCTTCAGTCCACTCTGTTTATTAAATTGTAATAAGGAACAAAACTAAAGTACTTTGATGAAGACTTTAATAAACAGTAGCCCATAGCAGGGCTAAGAGCAAATAAGAAGACAAAGAATGCAAGTAAAAGAGGATATCTATATATAGTACAGCAAAAGGTGGATAATTCTGGAAGAATTCAAATCAAGGGAAGTTAATGTTTATGACACCTACATCAAGTGCCTTGAAGAGGTAGTGCTGCTCTGGTTCAAGAGGGTGGCTGCCGGAAGACCCAATGCCTAGCAACAGGACTCTGCACCATGCCACACAAGCAGGAAAACACAGTCATGGATGTCAGACAATTTCAGTGACCACATCACTCCTTACATCTTGCCACCTAACACCCCAAACTGCAACCCCCTTGATTATTATGTGTGGGGCACAGTTGAGCGAGAGACCAACAAAATTCCTTGTAACACAAAAGATGAGCTGAAGTCAAGGATTATGGCAGCATTCACCAACTTAGATAAGGAGCCTGTCCAGAAGAGTTGCAGGAGATTCTCAAGTTGTCTGGAGGCTGTGGCCAATGGTGATTTCATTAAATAAATTTACTCTTAAGTATTTCAGTGTTGCCCATGCTTGATTCAAAAATCGTACGACTCATACAGCAATCGCTATCACTTGACTTAAAATATTTTTGCCCTTCCTTGCTTTTAAAGGAGTGCCCTTTGCCGTGCTAATGTTGCTACATGCCTTACTTCTTGCCTATCTCACACTACAAATTTTTTCTAAGCTCTATACTAAACATTAAATCTGTTACGAAAAAAGAACTAAACAAAATGAACACAAAATGATCAGCTTTAAAAAAAGGACTCGTAACTGGAAAAACTAAATGAAAAAGAATGTTAACAACAAATACTTTTTCACACCCAACCCAGTTCTGCGGAATCAGAATCAATGTTGAGTTTAAGCAAGCGAATGAGCCAATTGAAGTAAAGTGCCATGCAGATTTAAATTTTTCCCACTTGTGACAAATGCAGCTATCGATTTTTTTTGCATGTTAGCATGCTAGTTAACATTCATGTCAGTCAGCTGTTGGCTCTCATGCTGGCCAATAGAATCTTCCTGCCTATTTGTGGTAGCCAGCTATAGGCTCTCACTCTGGCCAGTAGAAAATGGCCACAAACTACATGAAAACTACCGTAGAAGCATGAAAGAATCGATTATTTCCACTATCGATGGGAGTTGGGAATTGTAAAGTCGGTCTTGGCCTTCCCGCTAACTTGGAGCATGTGCATGTAAATTTTAGTGCAAATTGCGGCTGTGCATTCGTTACGCACACACACACACACACACACACACACACACACACATCCTGCCTTTTTATATATATATATATATAGAGAGAGAGAGAGAGTGCACACTGTCTGAAGAATGGAGAAACAACAATAGTTTGCATCATAAATCATTTCTTTATGATTAATACTTAAGAGGATACATTCATTATTTCATTTATTAAAGATATCAGTGCTTTAATAAAAGTGCCTTCTGAACTTTATTGTGATAATGAGCATTTATACGTAATGAGCATCACACATTTACCTTGAGTGAAGAAAACTCACACTTAACTCAATACATAGTTGTTGTTGCCTTTCCATAGAGAAAATTATTGAATTTACTCATATTTATTACATATATATATTTAATATTGTATTTTTTTATTTTTCATTTCAGAACAGTGTTATCAGAAGTGATTGCAGATTTTCAAAATGATGTTATTTCAATCTGGAATGGACTAAATCCTTTTACCCAATATGCCTCTATTGGTTTTTTCTTCTTTCTGGCAATGTTTGCCATCATCATTCCCCTATTGACTC